TATAAATTTTCCAGCACGCGTGCCAAAGTGCCACTTCGCTACCAGATTGATTGAGGATGTAGCTTAACGGGCCTAGTCTCGTATCCGAAAACGTATCTCAGCCATTGTGTCTTTAGCCTTAGTTTTTTGAGTGACAGGTCTTTTCACGTTTTGTTTTTACCTGGTTGTCATGAGTTAAGGGTCATTCACATCCACTTAACTTAACTTAGGATGCGGAAAATTATAACTAACGTACGAAACTGAGAAGGTCTCTGTTAACAATGAAGTAAATTATCTTACATGACGTATGCGCACTTATAACCTGAACTGTCAAGTCAAATTATAGGTATGCACAGAAATGGAAATTATTATTTAATGCACGGATTTTCTTAAGTTGGTTCAACTTTTCCGTGTGTCACGTTAATTTTCTTAATTTTTAAGTGGATGTAACAACTATGTGATCTTCAACTTTTTTTTATTATTAATTTTCCGTACGTCAAGTTAAGTTAAGTGGATGTAAATGACCCTTTAGCACTAGATATATTCGTCATTTTGCCACATGTGGACGCCTGCAAATTCGTCAAGTTATATCCTATATACCTAGTAGCCTGCCCCTCACTGTATACAAGCTGTATGATGAATAGGTTCGCTTCAAGTTAAATAAAAATGATTGAACAAATTAGCGTTTTTATTTTATTTTATTTTTTTGTTACCTACCTGGATATGAAGCTCGTAGGAAAAATTTTGTTCCTGACACGTGCGCAGAGTTGACACGTGCGCAGAGTGCACGCATGCGGAAAAGTACCACTTTGCGCACTTGTTAGGAAAATAACTTTTCCTGATTTTTCAAAAAACTTGACAAGTTTGTTTGTGATAACAGAAGGTATCTTGTAACTGTAATATGACTTGCTAAATCTAAAAAAAATATATCAAAATAAAAAAATAGTGATGTGTATTTTTTTTTCTTTTACCAACGTAGATAAGTGCCCTCTGGGTCGCCACTGAAATAATTACGGAAAAAACTAAGCATTTGCGAACCTATGTTTCTATTACCTTTTTTTGTATTTTAAGTAACTATTTATCCTAGAAGTTTGATCCCACTATTGATATGAAACGTATCGGGGCTCAGTAGACCTGGTTGATAATTTTTATCCAAAACGCTAGCCCTCGTTCTCCAGAGCTAGCGCAACCTAGCGCAACTTTTTCGAAAGCTAGCGCAGCTACAGGTCAAAAGATATGTGGCTTTATATTCGGGGGTGGGGGGGGGGGGCGGGCTAGGGTGACGCTAGCCCCCCCCCAGTTATTCGATCTTCTCAAAAATGCTGGCGCACATTCGTAACACCTAGCGCAAGTTGTGTCATAGCTAGCGCAGCTATCGTAGCTGTCATACAGGGTGGACAAAAAAAAAACATGAGCCCCTACAAGTGATTTTTAATTTTAAAAAAATATATATGAAGCTTCCTTAAAGCTAGCGCAGGTAAAAATTCGAGCAACCGCATTACCCCTTTAAAACATATACAGGTATTTTATTCGGGGGGGGGGGGGGGGGCTAGATCAACGCTAGCCCCCCCCCCCCCCCCCCCAGTTGTTAAATCCTTTTCAAAAGGCTAGCGCAAGTTCGAGACACCTAGCGCAAGTTGTGCAAGTTGTGTCATAGCTAGGGCAGCTATCGTAGCTGTTATACAGGGTGGACAAGAAAAATCATGTGCCCCTTGTCACTTGTAGGGGCTCATGATTTTTTTGTCCACCCTGTATGACAGCCACGATAGCTGCGCTAGCTATGACACAACTTGCGCTAGGTGTCTCGAACTTGCGCTAGCCTTTTGAATAGGATTTAACAACTAGGGGGGGCTAGCGTCGATCTAGCCCCCCCCCCCGAATAGATACCTGTATATGTTTTGAAGGGGTAATGCGGTTGCTCGAATTTTACCTGCGCTAGCTTTAAGGAAGATTCATTATATATTTTTGAAAACCTAAAAATCACTTGTAGGAGCTCATGATTTGTTTTGTCCACCCTGTATGACAGCTACAATAGCTGCGCTAGCTATGACACAACTTGCGCTAGGTGTTACGAATGTGCGCCAGCATTTTTGAGAAGATCGAATAACTGGGGGGGGGGGCTAGCGGCACCCTAGCCCCCCCCCCCCCCCCCCCGAATATAAAGCCACATATCTTTTGACCTGTAGCTGCGCTAGCTTTCGAAAAAAGTTGCGTTAGGTTGCGCTAGCTCTGGAGAACAAGGGCTAGCGTTTTGGATAAAAATTATCAACTTGGGGGGGGCCAGGTCTACTGAGCCACTTATCGGCTGGCGCCTAAGCTAAGTCTTTTTTATTATAATATGTATTATGTAAATCTTTTCATGAGCATCAAAAAAAGTTCTAGAACTTTTGTACGATTTCTAATACCTTCAAGTGTTGTAAAAGCATTATACAGGGTGTTCCGAAATTAATGAACTAAATTTGTATAGTATAGACTACGTCAAAAATAATCCCTAGTTTCCTATATAAACATAATATATCCGAAAACGCTTCATTTCTGAGATACAGGGTGTTGAAATTCTAAGAAAAATAGTTAGTTATTATACAAGGGAAAAAAGTACAACACAGCGAGCGCTAAAATCTTACTTTTTCCCATGCATAATACACATTTTTTTTCTGTTACGGGAAAATCTCAACATTTTCCATCTATACATTATTCCCTTTGAGGAAAAAATTTGACTGGTACCTGTTACTTTTTTCCCTTGGGAAAAAAAATTGACTGGTACCTGTTATTTTTCCCATGGCAGAAAAAGTGACATTTTTGCCCCTGTCAACAGGTTCAAAAAGTCTACTTTTTTCCCGTCACAGGAAAAAACTATTTTTTTATCATAATTTTCAAACCGCTCTAAATATTTTATTGAAATTTTGTACACTGCTTTCAAGCAACAAAATAGCTATTTATACAATAAGTTACGAAATGAGCGTCTTTTAGGCACGCGACGTGAAAATTGTCCAACGAGGCAAAGCCGAGTTGGACAACACGTCGAGTGACTAAAAGACATCGTTTCGTAACGTATTGTATACAAGATTTTTTCTACTGGCATTTTATAATAAAAAAACACAATTTTATTTCATGTGAATAAGTCGATTACACCCAAAATCTTTGTTACCTGCTTTTACTTGACACCTGACACTTTTCATGCGATTTTCTTTTCAAAATTCGACATCAATAATTAAAATCCTAGAAAGTAGGTAATAACACAAACTTCTGTTTTGAGTAACCCAAACGTTCAATTCAGTAATTCCATTTTCAATATTCATAATAAATACAAAACAAAATTCAAATATGTGTTTAGTGTGTTTTTTATTTCTGAATAATGAATGACACTTTTAGGCACTAGTGCTTAAAAATTACTTTTACGCACTCATAAGTCACTTTTACGCATTCAAAAGTCACTTTTACGCACTGAGTGCCTAAAAGTAACTTTCACGCACTCAGTGCCTAAAAGAATGTCGTTTCAAAACTGAAATGACAATCGAAAAGTTGCTATTATGAAACGTCAGTAGAAAAAATATTTTTTTATGTGAAATAAAAAAAAAATGCCAGTGACCGTACCAGATTTGTATGGAATATTTTTTGAGAAAAAAATAGTGCGCCGCTACTTTTCCCAAAAATAAAAATTATTTTTGATATCCCCATTCAATTTGGAACAAATATGATCTCTTCACTTTTTTTGCGAAAGTTGCACCGTTTTCAAGTAAAAAAATAAAAAAACCATTTTGATGTATGACGAAATCGCCAAAATTGTGATGAAAATGTTAAATATTTTAAAGACCTAAAGTTTCCAAACTATTTTTTTTAAATATTTCACATCAAAAAATGTCTTTTATTACTCCAAGGCAGTGTGAAAAATTTCAATGAAATATCTGAAATAGTTTTTTTCTTAGTATTTCAATACTCTATAGGTATCTCGGAAAGGAAGCGTTTCCGGACATATGTTTATATAGCAAACTACCGCTTATTTTCGACGTAGAATATGCCATACAAATTTGGTGCATTAATTTCGGAACACCCTGTATAACGAATTTGAAACTCTTAGAATCGTTTAGAAGAACTAGTCGAAATTTAGAATATATACATATAAGCAATCTAAAACCTCCTTGACCATTTTAAAAGAAATTCAGAACTTTACTAAGCTCCTGACGATTTTCAATTTTCAATTTGTTCACCCTTAATTTGCAACAATTTAGGATTCAGAAACATTGTAAAATGCTCCAGAACAGTTTAGAACCAATTTTTGAATTTTGAGAAACATTCTAGAACAGTTTTGAACTCTAAGCAATATTTTGGAAAGCTTAAGATACATACCTCAAAATTGGAATTTGCATCATTCTACAACGCTCTAAAACAATTGACAAATAATTTGGAACTTTTGCTACCAGTCTAGAATTAGTTGACAAGTTCCAGAACAACTTAAAAATCATTACGTAGAACAAAATTTTCTATAGCATATATTTATTCACAACTCAGATGTATCAGAGAAACGTTCTAAAACATTTGTCTGATAACTTTTAGAAGGCCTTAACGATTCAAAACTCAAAAGCATTATAAAACCATTTTAGAACTTAATGAAGCATTTTGAAACGCTTTAGAAAAGGCTAATGTCTATTTGGTATTACCAAGTTGGAAAAGTTTACAAAAAATTTAATTCTTAAGAAAAGGATGACGCCTATTTTTCTCCTCCCGTGCCCCACCCCCCCCCCCCCTCTCCCTAGCTACGCAACTGCACTATTCAGAAGCACCCTATATATGGGGATTTCCGAATAAGAGTTTTTGAAAAACGATAGTCATTGACAGTCATTGTATTCTTAATAAGTACCTACCTACCTAATTACTTACACTTTCTTCATCACAATAGACAAATACATAGAGGCAAGAGTAAAACGTTCCTGATTTTTCCCAAGCTTCTTGATATTAAAACTAAATTATTCAGCATAGCAACTTCTACCAAATGATCAACAAACAATATTGTTCAATTTCAGATAGAAGATGAAGATTTTCTGGAATTCGACTACATTTTTGGCATGGACGATAAAAACATTTCGAATTTGAAAGGCCAACAACCACCAGAGAGCAGAGCAAAGATTTTGTTGCTAGGAGATTTTGATCCCGAGGGAGACAAGATCATCCGTGACCCATATTATGTAAGTCATTATTGTGTTTTCGTAATAATTTCTAAAATAATAACCTGGTGTAGTTTTTTTTAACTAATTACAAGAATCGGATTTTTTACAATTAAGTTTATCGATGAAAAGTCATTTTTAAATATTCATGTCGCCCAAATTACTATTATAGGACTCCGGATCCGAGGGTTTCGAGAAGTGCTACCAACAATGTGTCAGATCCTGCAACGGATTTTTGGATCAGTTGGAGCAAGGAAAAATTTAAAAAAGAAAAAATGGATTGCCCTCGACATTTACAATTATTATTATCAGTAGCTTTATTTTTTATTAATAATTATAATATGTAAGTAATATATATATATAATTATTCCTCTCAATTAAATAGTTGTTGTTTACGGAATATTTGAAATGTAGTAAACTGGACTGCGACTGGATAATTGCGCAAACAAATAGAAATAGAAATGGAATTGATACCATAGGGTTGTCGAAACACACAAAAGTTATTACCACTCACCTGGGTTTTCTTATAGGCTGTGCGTATATACGGGGATCCCCTGGAAAACGGTTCTCCACAACCACCAACGTATCACCATCGACTTAAGGCACTCAAGGTCCCTTTTTAACGGCACAAGACATATAGTCAGTTTTGAATTGTATAAATATCATATCCCGTGTGCAACTTAGTGAAGCAATATCATGCGAAACCTCAAAATTTTCAGAAAAATGTGTAGATCACAAATTTTAATGGGGCGTATCTCGTAATGGCGGCAGAAGGGTGAGAACCACCCTTATACTACCCTACTGCGTATATTATGCAAAAACAAATGACACAGAGCCATTTCCTTAATTATAATTGAATTTCATAGTATTCCATTCATCACTTTTGTTTCAGGTACCTAATGTAGATGAGATCATTATAGTTATTTACCTAACAAATGCGGAAAGTGATACTTTACCGCACGCAACGGCAGTTGACCGAACGACGCGGAGCGGAATTCGGTCAAGCCGTTAAGGGCGGTAAAGGCACTTTCCGCATGTGTTAGGTACAAAATTTTACCTATGAGCATCTACATCTCTAACAAAAGGCATTGATAAAATTAAATATTGAATCAGATTAATTAATGAAATTAGATTAGATATAGAAATGATCAAAAATCCATTTTCTGAAAAAGAGAGGATTTCTGATTAAAAATATCAAATTTTACTTTACCGCACACTATGCGGTAAAGTGCACTTTACCGCACACTTTGTAGTCCACTTTACCGCATACTATGCTGTAAAGTTAACTTTACCGCACACAATGCGGTAAAGTGCACTTTACCGCATAGTGTGCGGTAAAGTGATACTTTCCATTTGCAAATACGTGCGGTAAAGTGCACTTTACCGCACGCTCGTAGGTAAAAAATATTACGAAACCATCCCCTAATCGGGGGATGATTTCATAACAAAGCTTCTTAGGCATCTAGTAAATTAACTGTTACAACAATACTCATAGGCCAAGCAATGAAGGAAGTTTACCTCAACATAATTAGAAGTTAACATTTTTTGGGGGGGATCGGTTCATTTTCATGTGCTTAATAACATATCAAGTTTGCGACCTTGTACTTCCATAGGGTTTTTAGTTAGGGGTGGTTTTTAGGGGTAATTTGCGGTTTATGGAGAACGCTGCTCAAAGGGATGGGCCAATAGCAAAAAGTTTCAAATGAATGTTGTAGCTGAAGTTTTTTGCTATAAAAAACTCAGCGACAGCACCCTTCTATCTTCTATAGTTTTTTTTCTGCAGCGTCTTGAATACTAGCATGTTTTTATTCAAGGTCACTGAATCAACGTTTTACCTGTTTGCGCGCGTTTGATGCAGCAACTGCTAAATGCATAATCCGATTTCAATTTTTCAAACACCTCATTATTGCTAATGAAATGCACTTTCCAATGCTTTTTTGTTCGAATTTTTTGCTTGAAAATTAAGCGAGCACCGTAAATTGCATCGAAAACTACCCCTTTCTTTCATTCACTGTAATTTCTAAACGGGGCGAAATATTAGGTGACAGTTTTCGACAATCGGCAGCCCATTTATTCCTCTCATATTGCCCCAGCGGATTTTTTGTTTCGTTAATTACTCAATGACGTATTGGCCTGAACACGTCGCGCGGAATTTTTCAAAAAGTTGAAAAAAATTAAAATCGTCGTACGGCGCTGAAATTTGGTACGATGGCTCTTTTTATTGTTTTTATGAATATACTGAAATTTTAATTGCTTCACATGACTGCTGCAACCATTAAAATTGCAGTATATTCATGAGAACAATAAATAATGCCATCGTACCAAATTTCAGCGCTGTGCGACAATTTTAATTTTTTTCGACTTTTTGAAAAATTCCGCGCGACGTGTTCAGGCCAATACGTCATTGAGTAATTAACGAAACAAAAAATCCGCTGGGGCAATATGAGAGGAATAAATGGGCTGCCGATTGTCGAAAACTGTCACCTAATATTTCGCCCCGTTTAGAAATTACAGTGAATGGAAGAAAGGGGTAGTTTTCGATGCAATTTACAACTTCCTCGCAAATTAGCCAAGTTCGTACTCGCTTAATTTTCAAGCAAAAAATTCGAACAAAAAAGCATTGGAGAGTACATTTCATTAGCAATAATGTGGTGCTTAAAAAATTGAAATCGGATTAGGCATTTAGCAGTTGCTGCATCAAACGCGCGCAAACAGGTAAAACGTTGATTCAGTGACCTTGAATAAAAACATGCTAGTATTCAAGACGCTGCAGAAAAAAAACTATAGAAGATAGAAGGGTGCTGTCGCTGAGTTTTTTATAGCAAAAAACTTCAGCTACAACATTCATTTGAAACTTTTTGCTATTGGACCATCCCTTTGTGCAGCGTTCTCCATAAACCGCAAATTACCCCTAAAAACCACCCCTAACTAAAAACCCTATGGAAATACAAGGTCGCAAACTTAATATGTTATTAAGCACATGAAAATTAACCGATCCCCCCAAAAAATGTTAACTTCTAATTATGTTGAGGTAAACCCTCTTTTAAGATCCCCGTTTCTTGGACTATCAAGCAACATGCAAATATTGTAATGTAATAATATTATGTAACTATGAAATCATGACCCCATGACCGTCTGGGTTTCTGTAAGACATTGCCCTTTGCTAAACACACCCCCGAGTATCCGCATTATTTACCATGTTTTTTGAGGAAAAAGTCTTATTTTTGAGGTGAAACTTTTTAGGCGGCGACAGTCTGATATTTGGACGAGAATGGAAAGTGATTTGAAAGAGGCGCTATATACGTTTAGGCCCATTTCGTTCGAGAATCGAGCTATATCTAGGGTTGCCAGATACTTGACTTTTGAAAATAGGAGAGCCTGTATAAAATTATATGAGATTGCATAATAATATAAGAGAATATTTTATGTACTACAAAATACCCAAATTCAAAAAAGCTTCCATCTTGACAATTATAGTCCATTTTTTTGAAAGCTGGTATAATCAATCATGCTCGACCAATTTTAATCCTAAATCCTTTGAAGAGTGAATGAACCACCTGCAATAAACGAAGAGGTGACAGTTTGATTATACCAGCTTTCAAAAAAATAGACTAGCCATGATTTTTAGCAGATTTTGGAATGCATCGCTAGACATTCGTTTGGATAGTTAAATACTCCCCCTGATCCGTCAGTCTCATTTCCTGTAAGAAGTTGTGGACAACACCTTGGTTTTTTTGATGTTTAAACAAATCCCTGACCCAAAATTGTTTTGTTTTTTTCTCTGTTTTTACTTTTATTTTTATTCATTATGTACAAAAGCGACAAAAGTAAAATATCATTTATCCGACGACGTCGGGAAAAAGTTGAAAATATTCGGATAAAAAGTGGTGGGAAATTTTTCAGCCAATAAGAGCTCCGTCGTACCATCGGACGGTCATGGAACCCATGAGGCCGGAGTCTCATGCATCCGTTTTCCGACGGAAGATGTCCGAAAAACCTCCTATTTTGACATAATCGTATAAAAATATGTCAGAATAGAAGGTTTTTCGGACATCTTTCGTCGGAAAACGAATACATGAGACTCCGGCCTATCACATGTACGCAATGTAGTGATATACATGAGCCAAGTTTTCAAATTCACTATTTGCTTATGCGCATTTCTCTTGATCAGTTACCTATCCTTGTTTTGGTGCTGTCAAATGACAAGGACATCATTACATCTTACATCGATGAAAATGCGCATATGTCATTGATGATTTCAAAAACCTGCCAATAACCCTTTTCACGTGGCTCCGTCTTAACAAACCGCAACATACCGCTCAAATTCGAGTGGTAGGTATCCATCACGTCACTTTGTAACCGGGTTAGAAAACGGTATGTCATTTCTCTAACCTTTTTGTAACCCGGTTAGTTAAACCGAAGCCACATGAAAAGAACTGATGGTTTTTTTTTTCTTTGATGAAAAATGAAAATATTTGAGAAATAGTCTCATATTAAACATGCTTATATGAGATATGAGAAACAGTTGAAATATATGAGTCTCATATTAAAAATAGGAGGTCTGGCAACCCTAGCTATATCTAAAACACAAGCCTTCGTTTCAAGACAGAGTAGAGAGATATCATGTTGAGAGCAGGAACAGAGAGCTGTAGTTTGTATTGGTATATCTAATAGGCTCCTTGCATCAAATTTTTTTATTGCTGATTTCGATAGTCCATGAAAAATAAGTCAACACGTGTTTTTTCTTTTTCTTGTTAGTCAAAAATTGAAGGAGATACAACGCTTTGAAATGTCCTTCCGACATCATAACTTAGGTATAATACGTTGTGAGTTGTGACGTCGCACGTGCTCAGTATATCTATATATACAAAAACTCAATATTTGTATAATTTCCGAAATAATCATATTTGGACAAAATAAAAAAACACGCATCGATTTTTTTTCGATTTCCTACAGTTTGCAATACAAAATAATCAATTTAATTTTTGATGCAAGTACCCTATTCACAGTTTCGGCTATCCGTGTCTCCCTTTTGTGCGGTCTTTCTTCTTTAACCCCCACTCGTGAAAAAAGGCCAAAGTCTCAGTTGCTCGAAGGGAGAATAGTTTAGAAAGCAGTTTACAAGCAAGAGAGAGCCACGTATTCACTGAATACTACGCAATGGAAGAGGATATTGATTTTTCACGAAAGAGTCGATTCAGAACCGAAACTTAATGATCAATCAATAAAAAATCGGTCATAAAAGTATCGATTCTTGAAGAATCGATTTTCGATTCTGGCATTGATATTGTTGTTTAGATAACTCGAGTATCTTAACAAACAGAAAATAAAAGGTATTTACATAAATAATAGGTACTTTTTATCTCCATTGGACATCAAAAAATGGTT